GCCATCTTGACCTCACACTTGGTCAATAACCCATACATATCATGGGGACAACCCCAATACTTGAAATGGCGCGCGCTTACGGTCTCCGTCCCCGATTATGGCTCCTGCTTTGGGTTCATTTCAGATGCCATCTCAATATTTTGGAAACTGAATTTGAGGAAGCCATTAAACTCCTAGGAAAGCAAAACCACAGAGACAAACTAATAAGACGTACTGGATCGTACGTCATTTATCAGTGTCATGAAATCAAAATAAAAGTAATCACTGACTGGTCAATTACAACGAGAAGTGCGACAAACACGTTTGAAACAGGCAAAACCGAAGCAAATATACGAATTACTTTCGATACTCAAGGAACACTACTTTCTAGAACTAATCACGACTTGAAATAATAATAACTGGGAAAGCGATCTTAGGAAATGCTTCAGTACAGGGGACTTATCAAACGAAAGTACCCCCACCCCCGAAGAACCTGTTTCAGTTTTGTTCTTGGCAAGAAGCCTAGAATACTTCCGTTTTCTCTTACTTTTTACATCCATTCTGAGAGCTCTTTAAGAATAAGCACGGATGAATATTGATTCTATTGGGATCGCGTATTTCCTCTCTCCCCTTTAAATTGCCTCTAGGGTATGTGGTGTACATGTCCCGGCACATGTATGCTTGACCAAAAAAGTCGAGAACGCCTTGGACACGAGTGTAGCTGAGACGCATGGAATCTTGGGTACATGTATTTTAAGCGTCAGAGAGATAAACAGACCAAAAATACATAGCCTCCTTGATACATAGAAAACGGAGAAAATGAGAATTAATTGTTTCACTTTGTGAAAATGACTTCACTTAAGGGCTTCCTTCCACCAGCAGGAAGTGCTTTATGGAGAAAAGACCGTGGTCGATTGAACTCGGACAGCGAGAACGGTTCGATACCTGCTATCAAACATGTCGTCATTAGAGAAGTTTGGCAAAGAAGCTATCCTTCACCCCATGCCCTGTACAAAATAGATGTCATGACTAAGTCCAACCACTGGTTTGTGTTTCGAAGGTACCGCGAGTTCAATGATCTTCACAAAAAACTTGTGAGTCTTTACGGTATTCCCAAAGACATGTTGCCACCGAAGAAATTCGTGTCAAATATGGCGCTATCTGTTCTCGAAAAGCGAAAGGCGGCCTTGGAACATTACCTACAGCGATTGGTTAACAGCAGCACTTACGTGTCAACTTCTCCTGAAATTGTTGAGTTCTTAGAAGTTCAACGGCACGATGTCATGTCGGTGACAAGGGCGCTGGCAAAAAATTTGGCTCAAAATGGCGAAGACGTTTTAGCGAAGGGTGAAAGTTTCACTTTAGCTCCCACTCAACTTTACTGCATAACCCGTCAGTTACAATTACCAGAGCCAACCGATGCGGTGGATGATGTAGATGCAGCGGATCTTGGAAGTCTTTACGATTTTATCTATCAGCTCAAAGCACTTTGCGTCAGCAGTATTGTAAACAAGAGTACAACCTCGCAGGAACTTTCTAGCCACCTAGAGTTTGATATTTCCTTGTTCAAGTCACTCAATTGTCTGATCATTGATGGCTGCCCCTTGAATCTAATCAACAACCTGTCAAGAGTTCAAGCTCAGATTACAAATCTAACAGCAAGATACTGCTTGACAACATTGAAAGAACTTCTTGTTGATTGTGCAGCAGAGAAACGTTTGGCTCCCAAGGTCAAGGGCCCAGTAGAGGCATGGAGAGGTCTCACAACAGCTAGGTTGATGCAGAATCGAGTTGTGGTTCACCCGTGGTGTCAACTTACAAATCTCGATGTAACACACAACAAACTGGCAGCATTTGACACCTCCCTTAAACTTTTACCTGTCTTGCAAAATCTGAACATGAGTTATAATGAATTTGTTCACTTGGATCTCCAGCAGTTATGCTGTCCAAGTCTTAAGCACTTGAATTTGGCACACAACAACATCCACTTCATTACAGGCATGCCTAGAGAGCTGGCACACTTGAAATCTCTGCTTCTTTGTCACAATAACCTCGAGACTGTTAGCGGATTGGATTGTCTCACCGGACTCATTGAATTAGACCTAAGCTACAACCAAATCCGTGTGGTCCATGAAATTTCCAAGTTGTGCGTGAGCTCCCACTTAAAGTACCTTTCAGTTGCTGGAAATCCTTTTGCGAGGGTAAAGCCGTACAGGATTGTTGTGTTGTCGTATTTCAAAGGTAAAGAGCTTGTCCTTGACAAGAAGCCAATAACTCAGAAAGAAAGGGTCAAACTGCAGTCCTACCCTGCCAAACTACGTGCTAGTAGCAGTCCTGATTACGTGCTGGGTGATAGTAACATGACTGAGGATGTGCTTCCTGGTCGTTCCCACAGCTTCAACTTGTTTGGTCCCCCAGAAAGTGACGAGGACTCTGGAATAGAAGGTGCACCAAGTCTTAGAAGCTACAGCATGGTTATGGACCCAGATGAAGGTGAGATTAGAGACAAGGAGCTTCTTTTCAACTGGTCGTACTACAGTGGACAGGAAGAATTGTTAAGTGGTACCATCCATCACCTTTCATTTGATGCCAATGATAAGGATGAAATGGAGGCAGCTGCTATCAGTAATATCCACCTTGACAGAGGAGCGAGCAATGATGACACAGCTGAAGGGAGTAACATTGAGTATCCACAGATTGATCATGAATCCACAGAAGCTGCTAGAGAGGATGAGTTCCCTAAGATGGGGACAGAGAAAAACACAGAACAGTGTGCTACTTTTTCTTCTCATGTTCCAAGTAGCTCTACAGAGCTTTCAGGAAACCAAGAAGAAGTTTTGACCAGCTCCCCAAGGTCTCCTGGTGAAGGTCATATATATGCATCACTGGATGATTTTAATAACAAGTCTAACCCTGCTGAGGGGGAAACTTCACCAACTGAAGTGAGAACTGAAGTTTGTGAATATACCGGACCAGGAAGAACAGAACTTGACACTGAATGAATCACCAGCTGAGGTTACAGTGCACAGATTGATGATGGGTCCATCAATTCTACCTAGCAGTTTTTGGAATAAATGAGAAATTGCTCTTCAAGGTGGTGGAAATGATAGTGATGAACGTGCTGCAATTTATCCAAACATTGTAGTACAATCCTTAGAAAATGTAATTTGAAACTGGAACAGATTCCTTATGCAAGGAGTAATTTATGGTTACAATGTAAGTTTTCTTTACAGATGTGTACATGTATTTCCACTTAATGTATGCAGTTCTCAGCTTAATGAACAACAATCTCCCAGTTATTATAAATAATATTTATTGGATTAATTTAATATCAAAACAGAAGTGAATGTACATGTATTATAAATTGCACCTTATTATGGTATATATGACCAGTTTTGCATAACAGGCAAGCTGAATGAAATTTATCCTCTGTTGTGATTGCCAACTACAGATTCAAATTGTTGTGGACTTGAATTGGTTTTGCTTTACTTGGCACTATACCAGGCTTAAAAAAAATCTGGGCCAGCTAGATGGAAATGCATTGTGTCCCTTACACTTGCTTTTATTGGCTTTTGTGATTGCTTTGGTTACCGGATTGAAAACTGTTCTATGCTGGGGTTGTGTACAATTGGATGTGAATCTTCACACTGTTATTTACTAAAACATTAAATAATTCATTTGAAATGTAGTTTAGGGATGACCTTCACTGCAGCATTTGATTTATTGATAATTAATATTTAAATAATTATTATTAAATAATGTTTATTTATGTGCAGTTTCTGCTTTGTGGGACAAATATGTAATATATTATTTCCTGATAAAAGCACAAAGTCTATTGACATGTGCTAATCACTTACCTCAAGTGGAACACTTCATGTAATCTACATGTATTTATTATGCTTGTCTTCTTGGGGCTCACTGGATGTCTCTTTTAGTAGAGCTCATAGTGAATAATTGAAGGGTGCTTTGAATAAAGCCCTAATTGACGTTTGAAAATTTATGAGGCAGCCAGGATTGAAATACCTACCAGTAATTTTCACAAATTACTCTGGTTTTAGCTATTGTCTCAAAAGAACTAGTAATTACTACTAGTTCTTTCTAGACAATATTGATAGTGATGAATGTGCTGCAGTTTATCCAAACATAAGAATAAACTGTATAAACTGCCCCGAGGTATTTCAATGCTGGTTACCTCTACGTTTTTCAAAAGTCACTTAGGGCTTTATTCCACTCATCCCTTCATTTTGTTGTCTGGGTGAAAAAGAAGTTGCTGTGACTGAGTGAGGTGGCCATAATGGTTTTTTTTTTCTAGTGCGCAACAGCCAAAAAATAACTAAACAAACTAAATTATATGGCAACAGAGTATGGGTGTTGTCTATAAACATTAGAATTCTTTGGCTTTGTTGTGGGTACTCTTGTGAGTTTATCAATTTTGACAAAAAAGGAGAGTGGCCAAGACCTTAAACTCGTACTTTGGTCTAGCCTGACACTCTTGCATGTTGTTATCATCTGTTTAAATCTGTTATATAAAGAAAATTATTTACAGAAAACTAATAGTAGGTAACAAGAAGGCTAAGGAGAATCCACAAGACTTAAAATATTACAGTAATTATTATGAATACATTGGACAGGAAATTATTTAAATACTATGGCTAAAGATGAGAATAAAATAACTTTACAGCGTTGTAAAAGTTGCTGCTTATGTATTTTTCAAGCTTGGTGTGAAAAAGCCAGTTTACTTGTATGTCTTTTTTTAGCCGATTTTGTGTTTCTTCTGTTCATTGGCATTTATTAGTTGAGATTGGGATGTAAAGCTGGTATGGATGGGTGTGAGTCAGTAGACCTGAGCTGAGTCACCTGCGCTTTATGGTTTTACCTTTTTTTTCCACTCTATTTCAGACTTGATAATAATAGGTAAAACCCTAAGAGTATAACTCACAGTATCGTGTAATATCATGAAGCTTCATGAGGCAGAGTCTTGCAGTAAACTCTTATCCTGCTGCTTATTATGTTCGCCGAACATTCCGGGAGTTGGGGAGAGGAGGGACGTGACTTTTAAAACATCAAAGAGAGGCCACAACATGGCGTCCGAAGAACATGGCAATAGCTGCGCAGGTCTAATTTATCTACTGAGGCATGGCTAAGCTGGGCCACTGGGCTATAAATGAAATACAATGGCAGCTCTCCCTTATCAGAGCCTTCTAAGCAAACTTCTGGTCATAAAAACTTAGCCGAAGGTAAAAGGTAAGGATTGCAATGCTTTATGACGCAGTGGAGGTGACCGTACTGGGAGCCGGGTTGATGGGCACATGTATTGCAGGTAAGCTTACAGTGAAAAGCTACCGAGCTGGGCTCCTGTTTGCAGGGTTTTGCCTTTGGATCATTTGAAGATCAATCTTTCACAAATATTTTAAATGACAAGGGGAAACGCATTTTAAAACATTATAAGCTATGGATTATTATATGGTTGCTGATTACCACACTAGTTTTTCTTATTTTATTTATTTTTTTCTTTTATAAATATATATACGTAGGTAATGTAGTAAAACGTAATTGCTAATAGTAGTACTTTTTGTTTTTATATTTGCAATGTTTATTTTCCTCGAAGAGATGAGCTTAATTTTTAGCTACCCTATAAATTTGAGCTGAAATTAAGTTAAGTATACCAAGCGTGATGTCAAGATGGCTGTCATGGCTGGATATTGGTGAAGTTTTTTTTTGTGTGTGTGTGTTTATGGACTGAGATGGAGTTGAGGTCCATAAACTCACAAAAAAAGAACGAGGCCAATATCCAGCCATCTTGACCTAACAAGTTTGGTCAGTAAGGGTCAGTAAGGGTCAGTAAGGATTTATTATTTAGAAAAAAGAACATTCTTTATGCAGAACAGTGAGTAATGATATATGGGTTATTGACTAAGCATGAGGTCAAGATGGCTGGATATTGGCCAAGTTCTTCCTTTGCATGTTTATGGACTGAAATGGGGTCGCAGTCCATAAACACGGCAAAAAAAAAAAAGAAAAAAAAAAAAGAACGAGGCCAATATCCAGCCATCTTCACAGAACAAGTTTGGTCAATAAAGGATTTATTATATGGCTTTGGGGGAAATATTTATCACTAGACATGGCAGGTAGTCCTGAGCAAGCAAGATAGCTCCATCAATCACAGCGCAGGATTTGCTTCATCTTGCTCACTCATGGAGCTAGTCACACGCGTACTAAATCAGTGTTAGCATTAACTCCACCTAAGGTCTTGTTCTGAGTGCTGTGAACTTTTGCTTTGTAGGCGAATTAGCTTGCCATGGACATCGTGTGAAGGTGTATGACCGAAGTAGGCAGGCACTTGAGAGAGCCAGCAATGTACTGGAGGAACACAAAGAACAACTTAGACGAGAGGAATGCATGATAACTCGGAACTTTGTGGTAAGATTGATCCACCAATGCAACTCCTGTTACAACAACTGATTAATGAATGGCAAAGGCATTGTCTTAGTGGCAGCCAGTGCAAAAAAACGGAATGCAGACTACATACAGACTTGGTGGCTCTTTGCCCATCGACATTCATGATACTTTCCCTGCTGTTTGATAGAACCTATAAGCTTACATTTTAGTTCGTTAAAAAAAAAATAGTAAAAACATAAAAGAAGACAAAATAATAAATATTGACAAAAATTAGCAAATAGATAATTCCAATGGAGCCTACTTGTAGATTTGATCTTTACAGCTGTGAATGCAATCTGGCATACATTTAAAGCCACTCTACTCCAAAAGGTGTTCAAAATGTTGTTATCAGGGCTGATTTAGATGATTAAGCGTATTAAACTTTGGAACATCCAAAATGGGAGCAGGCGAGCAATCGAAAAACATTTTTTTCCCCCGTTTTTATATACAAAAAGAAAAACCTTGACTGGTTGGGTAATGGTAAACCAAACAATTCATGGGATTCCTTAAAAACTTCTGAGAAAACTCTCAGTAAGCTTTTAGGATTTTAAAACTAACATACTCCTTAGCTTTTCTTTTATGAGGGATAGAAAAAACAGAGTCTTACAACTAAGAAATGTAGTATTGTGTAGTTTCAGAAAATATCCATGCCTCCCCCATGGAAGTCCCCCCCACCCCTCTGGAAATTCTGATTGAGCTTGATACATTTCTTTAAATATTTTGGTCTTACAGAACCCCCACCCCCCAGGAAATTCCAATCCCTTCTGTGGGAGGAGTATGGATATTTTCTGGAACTGAACATTTAGAATCTTGGGTACTTTTAAGAAAAATGCTGTAAGTTAGGAATTTTAAGTTTTTTTATGTTATATAATATTATTGTTACAATATTTTATCTGTGTCCGCAATAAGTGCCGTTGGCGCTAGAACAGCCATTCACTTTAATAAAGGATATGTATTTATGTATATACGTAGACATCCCCCTCCCCACCCCTCCAACATTCTATCAGTACAGTCTAGAAGTAGAAACTGAACCTTTTAAAATAAATCATTATAAACTGTTCTTTTGTTTTTCTATTCCCAGGGTACTGTCACTTTTACCGAAGATCTTGAAAATGCTGTTAGAAATGCAAGGTTCATCTTTGAAGCAGTTTTTGAGGACCTTAATGTGAAACAGCATCTTTTTGAAAGTAGGTAAACTACATGTATTTAGTAAATTCTTCCAGTTCTTCCACAATTTTTTGCTGTAAATCAGTATGGCAGAGGAGACATTCATATCAGAAACTGTCACCTGTTTGTATAATGCTGCTTTTTCCCACATAATATTATACTTGTGAGAGAGCTGTATTTCAGACTTATCATATAATTGAAGGGGTGAATGCAAAACCATGCTAAGTGATGATTTGGGTGGAAAAAAAAAATTGGGGAAAGGGCTTGAATTTTTGCATGTGGTCTACAATGTGATAGAAAAACGTGGTCCTGTATTTTTGCCGTTGATTTTTGCTTCGCTTTAAAAAGACGCCGCTAGAAAAACCAAGTGGTTTTTTTGCATACGCAATATCTCGAAAATGAAGCAAAGTTTAGCGGAAAAACTATGGGACATTGCTAAATATACCTAAACAAAACTGCATGGGAAATTTGGAATGTTTTTGGCAAAGTTCACTTTTGAGAAAAATACCTAACGCCCTTTTTGAGCCGAACCCTTCAGATAAACAAAGCCAGGGCCTTTGTTATGATAAACCGAGCCGATCCTTACAATAAACCGAAGTGAGCCTTTGTTATAAGTCAAAGTCTCACCTCAGTTTATTATAACAAAGGATTCATAACAAAGGATCGGCTCGGTTTATTATAACAAAGCCCGGTTCCGTTTATGTGAAGGGCTCGGTGGAAAATGGGCATTAGGTATTTTGCTCAAAAGTGAACTTTGTCAAAAAAGCTCCAAATTTCGCATGCATTATTTTTTAGGTG